TCTCCTCTCTCTCTCTCTCTCTCTCCCCTTGTCTGTTTCTGCCACAGTTCTTTTCCCAGAGCTGGGAACTGGCAGCAACATTCTTCATACTTTTCCAGTTGTGAATACTCAAACTGCGGCTCTCTGCCCCGCCCAGCCTGCCTCTGGGGTCAGCAGGAGGTCGGGGGGGGGGCGCTCAGCTGGCTGCTCAGGACATCCTGCGCTTCCTTAGTGCTGCAGCTGTGGCTGGCCAGCAAGTTTTGGGGGCTGGGAATGGGGAAAGGAAGGGGAATCAGCTACTGCCTGTGTTGACCCTCTAGCCAGGGGATCAGTTCTGTGGGAGAACTCTGTGTGCAGACTGCAGCTCTCCAAGAAGCCAGTGAGGAGGCTCCTCCCCGAACTGACCTGGGAAAGGCATGGCCCCCTTGGGCAGTGGCAGGAGTTGGCAGGACTCATGATAGCCTTTCTCCATACCCTTAGCATCTGAGACCCACCTCAGAGATGCCCAACAGCTGTGTCTTCCTTGTCCAGCCTTAGGCCTGGTTCTGAAGGTACAGCTGTTTAGACTGTACCAGGTTTGAGGGAGGGCCTGGCACCCACACATGAGAACAAAAAGGATGGCTCTTTCAGGGAGGGAATTGAGCAGAAACTGTTAGTGCAAGGGAGCCAAAGCCCAGGAGGCACCAGGGTTCCATCATAGAACATCCATAGGTTACTACAGAGGGGTAAACTGAGGTCTGTCGTCTCCAGAGGAAAGAAGGAGGCAACAGTCCTCATTCCTTTAGTGGGTCATGTGCTGTTGTGGTTAAGGTCAGGATTTTTGGTAGTTGCTGTTTGTGTTTTGCTTTGCTTTGGCATTCGGCTGCCTGGGTTTGAATCCTAACTCTGCCTCCTGCTAGTTTTAACCTTGAGAGGAAGACAGTTTCCCTCTTGCCTTATCCATAAACTAGAGATAATAATATCTACCTCATTTTGCTTTTGACATTTATAGGTATTAAAATATATTAAATGCTTGGGAGACTGAGGCAGGAGGATGGGGAGGTTGAGGCCAGTCTTGGCTACATAGAAAGTTGGAGGCCAGTCTGAGCTACAAGAGACCTTGTGTCAAACTACACACACACACACACACACACACATTTGTGTGTATATATATATATATATATATATGTGTGTGTGTGTATGTGTATATATGCTTTTTAAAGTGCCTACTTTACAACCACATGTGGTAACACATGGCTATAATCCTGGCGTGGACTGGGGAGGCTGAGGAAGGAAGACCAGGAGTTCTAAGCTAGCTTTGCCTACATATCGAGACCCCAAAATGTGCCTGATTCCTGCCAAGCTGTATGTTAGCTGTTATAATGGCAAAGTAACCTGAGGGCCCTGGGATTTCTTGAAGAAGTGTGGTAAAGAAGTGGGTCTCCTAAACATTACAGGAATGGCAATGGAACTGGGTGGGGGATAGTGTGTCTCCGATCTCTAGCCTCTTCACCGTTCACATCCCCTCTCTCTTGCCCATGAGTTTCTGCAAGTCAGAACTAATGTGTGGAAGAGCCTACAGCAGGCCCCTCTGCCCTTCCTCCTCTGACCCTCGCCTCTTTATTGAAAAGGAGTCCTTGGTATCTTAGCCTGGGACACACCTCCTTAGCTAAAGGCTCATGCATGAATGTTTGGGCATCATTGCATCTTTCTTGGGGACAAGTCTGAGTGCTGGCAATGAGAGAGATAACAAAAAAAGCAGTGCCATCTCCCCAAGCCTAGTGGAGGATTCTGGAAGAAGGGCAGTGCACCTTTTCCTTCTGGGGGCCTATCATCCCAGTTACCTACCATCCCTCACCCAGGACCTAACAACTCTTGCTCATAGATGCCAGATTTCCCTCCCCTGTACACAGGGCCCACTAGTAAAAGGGAGGAAAACGAGACTTTAAGATCGAACCAGCATGGTGTACATGGTACCTGGAGACCCTAGGTCTGCCCTGGGTGTCTCTTTCTCACTGTGGGTCTGATGATCAGGGTCCCCTCTCCCTCAAACCCCATCTATTCAGCTCCAGCCCTTCAAGGTGAAGCAAGGACAATGGATGGGCAATGTCTGTTAGTGGAGTGACTTGGAACCTGTGGTGTGAGAGACCATCTGATCTCAAATCCAGTTCTTGTGGCTGCAGAGGTGCTTAGGAAACTTTGGAGCCTCTTAGGGGAGGCAGGTGTGTTGTGTGGAAAGAATACTGGCTGGGAGCTGGGGGCTGGGATTTTGCCATTCACCAGTTGTATAACTTGGGGCCTGGGTTTTTGTTATGTATTACCTTTCAGGGTAAGGGTCAAAACATGAAATTGGATGTGGGGTGAGGCTCAGTGACAGAACACTGTCTGGCATGCATGAGATTCTAAATTTGATCCTTAGCACTACAGTTAAAAAAAAAAAAAAAAGATAAGGCAAGATGTTAGCATGTTCATGCTCATGTATTGTGCCTGGCATGGTAAGAGTGCCTGAGGATGGATTCCCTTCTCCTCCCCAGGCT